GCCCCCCCCCCCCCAACCGGCCTCAGCGTCTGGGGACCCGGACAGCTGGCTCAGCAGCTTTCTGGACTCATGTGTCCTCACTGAGAAACAACAGAGACAGAAATAGGGCAGTTCAGAAGCTCCTCTGTTCATAGGACTGAACCACCAGGTCCATAAACCTTTAAACATCACGTTAAATCTTAAATTAACCCCGAGCCATGGTTCTGTTCCAGGTTTCTTCCCCCTAAATTCAGTTGTTTCCTCCCTGGGTGTCCTAGTGCTGCTCTTGGTGGAACTGTTGTTGGGATCTGGGGCTACAGAGATAAAGCTGAACTGAATTGGGTTCCAGTCTCGTGAAGAGGATGGTCAGGGTTCTCCATGATCCAGAGGACCCACAGTGGCCCCCAGATCAGATCCTGGATCAGATCCTGGAGCCTTTTCAGGTCCCTGTTCTGCTGCATTTAGGGACTTGCTTCCTAACAGTGCAAAAGCACAGTCCCAAAGCCAGAAAATATTCAGTTCAGCTTTATCTCTGTAGATCCAGAACAACAGCAGCAGGAATCTCCCATATTTAACCAGAGCAGCTCACACTCTAAGTTATTTCCAGAAGAACTACAGTTCCACCAAGAGCAGCACTAGGAGACACAGGGAGGAAACAACTGCCTTTAGGGGGAACAAACCTGGAGCAGAGGAGGGGAGCAAGAGAGAGAGAGAGAGAGAGAAAGGCAAGAGAGAGAGGGATGGAGGGAGAGAGAGGGCAAAAGAGGGAGAGAGGGGGATCCAGCCTCCACAGTGACAGACTGGATAAACTGGTAACTATCTTGACAGTAATGGTGATGACAGCAGGAATAACAGACTCTGAACAGGGGCTGGAAGAGTCCATCACTTCCCTCTGGATAAATATTTAGATGGACCTGTGCTGCCCCCTGGAGGCGGCTCCGGGACAGACAGGCTGCTGCTGCTCTGCGGTGGAGAGAAGTTAAGGAGGACAGAGGCTTCTTCTCCTCCTCCTCCTCCTCCTCCTCCTCCTCCTCCTCCTCCTTCTTCTTCTTCTTCTGAGAGGCCGAGAGCCGGCATGTTTTCACAGAAACACAGTCTGTACTCACCTCTGCTCCCACAGCCTCCACTTCCCGTTTAGATAAGAAGAAATGACCCACAAACGGTGTTCCAGCCCCAGAGGGAGCCTCCCTGCCCCCCCCCTCCATCCACAGGATCAGCAGCGGGGGTCTGCAGCCGCAGAGCCGCGCACGGACGGGAGGACGGATCCAGACCTGTCCCGGTTCACCCAGAACTCTC